AATTGCGTATCATAGCTGAAATAAGTAATGACCAGTCTATGCTGGAAGCGTTTGTAGCTGGCAATGACTTTCACAAGGCCACAGCTGCCAAAGTCTATAATGTCGCCTATGAAGATGTAACGTCTGAGCAGAGACGCAATGCAAAAACGGTCAATTTCTCGATCACATATGGCGCAGGTGCCACCAACTTGTCACGTCAACTTAGTATTTCCCGAAAGGAAGCTACTGAATTGATTCAAAGTTATTTCAGAGAGTTCAGTGGTTTAAAAAATTATATGGATACCACTGTCAATTCAGCCAGAGAAACAGGATATGTCAAAACCTTGCTGGGCAGAAGGCGCAATCTGAGAGACATCAACTCGAGAAATTCGCTTACAGCATCCAATGCAGAGCGCGTAGCTATCAATACTCCAATCCAAGGTACAGCAGCAGATATGATCAAAATTGCTATGATCGACATCCATAATGAATTCAAGCAGCAAAAGTTAAAATCTGTTATGGTCCTACAAGTGCATGACGAATTGGTTTTTGATGTGTATAAGCCTGAATTAGAACAGGTTAAAAGTATCATCAGCAGTAAAATGCAAAATGCTATTCCCGATTTGAAAGTACCGATATTGGTAGAAATGGGTATTGGTCATAATTGGTTGGAAGCGCATTAATCTTTTTTCAAACAAATAAAATAAGGCGTATGCAGTCAGTAAGCGAGTCGATTTTGTTGCATTTACACCAAGACAAAATTCTTTCTCCTATCATAGATAAGTGTACGCTTACTATCCATAAAGCGCAGCTCCAACTATTCGATGATTTGCTTCGCTCTATTGTATCACAACAATTGAGTACAAAAGCTGCAGCAACGATCTATGATCGGTTTTTGGCACTTTTTGAAAACAAAATACCTACACCAGATCAAATAAAAAAACAATCTGATGCGCAGTTGAGAGCAGTAGGTCTATCGGGCCAAAAATCGGCATACATTCGCAATGTAGTAGATCATTTTGATGCAAATAACTTGTATAATAGAAATTGGGACAACTATTCAGATGATGAAATCATAGATGAACTTACCAAAATAAAAGGTGTCGGCAAATGGACGGTAGAAATGATTTTAATGTTTTCGCTGCATCGACCCGATGTGTTACCACTAGATGATCTTATCATTCGCAATAGCATGATTTCATTTTATAATATTACTTCAGAAAAAAAACAGCAAGTCCTTGATCTCACCCAAATAGCCGAAAAATGGAGACCATATAGATCTTATGCTTGTCGATATCTTTGGGCTTCAAAAGACTTGAAATTTTAAATTCTATACCAAAATGAAATCTTTTTATACGATAGGATTACTGATCATTTCCAATGTATTCATGACCTTAGCTTGGTACGGGCATCTCAAATTTTCGGAATGGAAATGGACATCCAAATTGGGTCTTTTTTCGATTATTGTAATAAGTTGGGGCATTGCATTTTTTGAATATTGTTTTCAAGTTCCAGCCAATAAGATAGGTTTTGCTGGTAATGGTGGACCTTTTAATCTGTGGCAACTAAAAGTATTGCAAGAAGTGATCACTTTGGTTGTTTTCACGGGATTTACGATTATCGCATTCAAGACCGAGACATTTAGGACCAATCATCTGATCGGATTTGTCTTTTTGGTACTTGCTGTATATTTTATTTTTAAGAAATAGCTTGTAAATCAAACATCCCACAACTTGTCCGTTCTGAAAACAGTACCTTTAAATAAGGCAACGGTTTCATTTTTCTGATTGGTCAGCACGACATCATAGATCCCAAGTTTTTTGCTTAGATTTTTTTCAGTAGCAACAGCTGTGATGACATCTCCAGCTCGTACTGGTTTAGTATGTGAAATAGATGTTTCTATGGAAACTGCCTGGATGCCGTGTGTATTGCTCGCAAATGCAAAAGCACTGTCTGCGATAGAAAAAGTGATGCCACCATGACAGATTTCAAAACCATTCAACATGCTATCCGTGATTTTTGCTTCGACAGTACAAGTTCCAGGTGCAACATGAATGATTTCCAAGCCCATCCATTTCGAGAAAGCATCATTACCAAGCATGAGCCGATGTACGATTTTCAAGGCTTTTTCGTCAGGTGTCATGGCTGGTGCAATTGATACAAGTCTTTTAGATTTCTACCCATACCATCATAATCCAAGCCGTAACCAACTACAAATTTATTGGGAATAATGAAGCCTGGATAATCTGTAGTAATGTCATGTTTTAGTGCGTCTGGCTTTACCAAAATAGATGCAAGTCGGATAGACGCCGGCTCATATTTTTTGAGTTCGGGTATGAAGGCAGCCATAGTATTGCCTGTATCGATGATATCTTCTACGATGATGAGATGTCTGTCTTTTAGATCAATATTTGGTGGCATATAAATATCAATCTTACCCGTACTTT